AAAAAAAAAAAAAAAATATATATATAATTATATAATTATAATAATCAGAATAATATGGGGTTCAATAATTCTAACACAAGTTTAAAAGGGCTTAGATATTAAAGTTATTAACTATAGAAAGTTATTGCCTTTTGTCTAAGTCTCATGTCCAACTAGGTTACAAATATATTGCTTTGAAAATGACACTGAACTCTAGCGCACAAAATTCTATCTAGTGTTTATTTTTATAAGCAAAACATAATATCATAATATTGTTTCTAGATTATTACCTCCCATTTCCTCCATAGTAGGAATTATATAACATATATTTTTGGTATTAGGAACAATATTACCACCGGAAAAATAAAACTTACGCAAGGTTCTAAATCATATAGGCAAGTCTAGTAAAATAATGTGTAGCTACACGAAAAAGAACCCCTGTACAAACTAGATGAACATTATAATACCCTACAAATTACATTAAAATTATTAATTTGAATAAATTCCTGCAATCGCAAATTTGTACTTCAAGTGTTGGTTTAGTCTTGATGGCTTAATATCTAATGCAAAGTGATGTAAAAATAATAATAAATAATAACTAAAAAAAAAAAAAGAACAGCAATATTGTTTGTACATATTGTTTTTTAAAGCTATTAATGAGGTAGACACAAATGTACTACAAAAAATAAAATTACAAAAAATAATAATAGTTATAATAATATGTTGATTTATATATATATATCTATATATGAATATGTAAATAAATATTAAAAAAGTAACTAGGAACAAGACATATAACTTTTTTTTTATACATAGTTACATTTTATAAAATAGGAAAAATTGCACTCATTAACGGGACAAACTAATTGTAGTAATATGAGGTAGATTTTTTTTTTATAGATTTTACATTCAGACAGTATGTTTCTTATTGCTACTAAYTTAACTTTAATAAATAATTGTATTATATAATATTTAATAATATATATATTTCTTATATATATCTTTATTAGAGATCTTAGGTCAAGAGAGCAACATTGCATTTTTAAAATGAAATAATTAATTTGTATATTCTTTGGAAATTAATATTATGTGTTTTATTTTAATACTGCATTTAAAGAGATAATACCACCACCCACCATGAGTCTCATTGAACTGAAAGTGATTAAAATTAGGAATATTAATCAAAATAGTTAGTCATGGGGGCCAAGTGTAAGGCACATTTTTATAAATTGTTAAGTAACACAACTTGGTAGTTTGTGATGGTAACTTAAGTAAAAATAAAATGGTCTATTATAAGCTATTTATTTAACAAGTATTATAATACCATAATAAAATACTACAACCATAAAGGACAAAATATCTTTATGTTAACTATATACTATTATTTGTACTTAAAAAAACTTTGGTATGAATTAAATTATAATATGTGATTAAATGGACGGCATGTAGTACCAATATGTCATTAATTACGCAACCCTCAAAAATATTAAATGGTCACATAATTTATTTTGTTATTGTTTGGAAATACTCAGATATGCAGACATTTTGGTCTATAAAATAAATTGTTATCAAGAGTGTAGATACTCTTATGTAAAACGAACACATATTTTGTACTGTTTTTTTAATTTTTTTTTTTAAATAATTTATATATTATTAAATTGTATATATATATTATATACACATTTGATTTAAATGATTTATTTTCACCTGTGAATTTCAGTTACAAATGGAGTCCCAAGCTACTTAACTACAGATTAAGTTATAATGTTTTATGTAGTTACATAATTTTGATAAGAAAAATACATCAGTCATTTATATATATTCATAAGAGAACACTGTATACATAAATTTATACATTAGTTACTCGTGTCAGAAAATCTAAAATGTATTACTAAGGAAATTATGAGGAGCAAAYGTATATATGAAAATAACACCCTGTTTTCATGATACTCCAGTATATAAGATAAATGATAAGTTCATGATTGAAAATGAAACTTATTTCTAAATCTACTGATGTATTTCTTACTACTTATTAATAATAAATTGACTAATAGGTTATTTTTTGAATGTATTATTAATATTGGAACTGTTGTTATTATTAAATAATTCACAAATTAACCTAAAATAAAATAACAATGCAAAAAATAAATAAAATATTAGTTTAAGAATATTGTAATTCAAAGATGAGTTTTAGATCCAAACTATTGAATTTATTTTATGAAATTTTGATTTTTGTATTCGAAAAAATTTGAATATTTCAATTGTTTATGTCCCTTGGAAATGTAAAAAAAGTTAAGACTGGGAGGATGGCACTATAATCTCTCTAAATGTTTATAAGACCAATGTTGTTTTACTCTTATAATTCAATAAGTCCTATTAAGTTCTCCATGATCGTTGTGTTTCTTTTTTATATGTACTTGCAGGTTACCTTTCTGATGTGTTTTGAGCGGGCAGTATGGGCACTGGAAAGCTGGTTCTTTTCCACATTCAAGACGTTTGTGTAGACTTAAGCTAGTTTTAGAGCGATACCTTTTATCACAGTCAGGACATTGAAATATAGGTTCCTTGTCCCTATTATGTCTCCTGTGTCTTCCATAGCCGTCGTGACCAGATGCATCTGAACCAGAATCCTATGTGAAATGTTTTGTTACATTACAATTATTTAATCATCATGCATGCATAAATATTTCTCAATCTTTTTGACCATATTAATTATAATTCATAACATGATATAATACAAATAAAATACTTTACCTGCATATCATAAAAATTTTGATTCATCAATGCTGGAATACCAACAGACGCTGGAGCAATTTTCTCAAAATATCTTTGTGATATTGACAATGCATTGGTTGTTGTCCATGTTTTTGGCTGTTGCGGTTGTTGGGGTGTTGGTTGCTGATTATTCAAGTATTTAATGACACTTGACAAATGATGATAATTGAAGTTGGTCAAATGGTTATTTACCACTCGCTGAGTGGCTGTGATTGTGGCCATATCGTCGCCTGTAACTGCAACCACTAGTTGTTAATATGAGGAGCAGTGATGATAGAAGAAGCTAGAGACATGCTCAGGTGCGAAACAAGAGCGTGCGAAAAGTATAAGCCAATTTCAAAATAAATACTAGTAAGATTATTGCAAATACTACWGAACTACTAATACAGAAACCTACTAGTTAAAATAAATAGGTACACGTATAATTTTATTTATCAGATAGATAGGATGATAATTAATGTATTTAACTAATATTTTAAAAGTTGAATAATATTTTGTCATTATTGAATATTTAACTCTTGATTTGATTTTTTTTAAGTTAGATCCAACGCTGTAAAATTATTTTAATACTCTAAAGTAAAAACTATGACATGATGAGAATAAAAGTATACAAAAAATCAATTAATAGTAAAAATATATCATTTTTTAACTACAGCTGTCTATAAATAAGAAAATAAATGATTGTTTAATGTACATTATGAGTGGAATAATGATTTATATTTTGATGATAATGCTGTTGACCCTACTGTATGTTTTGGCTTGTATTAACATAACACCTGAAAAAAAAAAGCGAATTAGTACATGTTTTAAATTAAAATAATAAGATACATGGGAATCATTATTAATATTCATAATAAATGAAAAAAAATTATATATAACAATTAAAATATATATTTACATGTTTCAGGTAAATGTAACGAAATAATTGTTTAAGTAAAATTTGAATACTAATTAAAACATTAATTTGAAACTTGTAAGTACAATCTTTAAAGAAAAAAAAACTTACAAAACCACCAAAATTATAATTTGTTTCAGGCTAACAAAAAAATAACCCAACAATTATATTACTTTAATAAACATTTAATTACACATTTTTATTAAATAAATAAAATACCATTAAAAACTAATCCATAATACTTTGGGTCATTTGTATAATACAAGACATAAAACTAACAAGTAATTTGTCATCTTAATACTGTTATAAAATAAAACATTTTTCTTAAGTAGAAAAAAAATACATCAACAATTTTACAAAATAAAAATTTGTATACAATAGTGTTTGTTTTAAGTAAATATCTCAAGTTTAAGATTAGTAGTACATGTATAATCTTATTTGGGACGGGAACGAGATTACAATTAAAAAAATATATCTCAACTTGTTCTAAGAGTTTAATTATCACTTGGAAGACTCAATTTCATTTGTTTTGGTTTGCTAATACTATAGAATCATTTAATACTTTTCTAAAAATGATAATAATTATAATTATAATAATAAAAAATAAAATAATAATAATAATAATTAAAAAAAAAAAAACAAATACCTAAAATTTAAATGTATTAATGAATTTGAAAAAAACTAATTTCGAAAAAATATATATTTATAATTTAACAAAATAAAAATAGAATATTTACAAGCAAAATTGCTGAAAAAAATAATATTGATATAAATATATGAATTGCACGTTTATTGCAAATGGGTATTAAATATGATTGCAATTCAATTATGAAATAGGTAACGGTTTAAGTCTAGTGGGGGACGATAGAAGTAGGCATTTCTTGGTCATATCAAAAGAGGTAGATCAAACTGGTTAATTCATGCAATTTAAGTATGTATATATTAAAACATTTTTTAAAATCATACATATTAACAAAAAAAAACTAAMAAATATAAACATGGGTAAAATTATTGTTAATAATATCAGTCAAGATTTATTATATGAGCATAAAACAATTATTAAGAACACTCAATAATTTTGTATATCTTTAATAAAAAACTACAATGAGGGGGTAAGGAGGTATTGTGATAGGATATGACCTTGAAAATTTTATAAACATAAATTTTATAAAAATTCAAATAAGTAGTAGCATGTGCCTAAAAGACATTTATAATTAAATTAAAACAAAAATACTGAGGGCAAAAATTGTCTTAATCGCTTTGGACATGTTGTGCTTTGACATGTGCCTGTACAACAGCTTGCGATTGTTCCTCATATTGGGTAGGGTGTTTTTTCTTAATATGTATGACCATGTTGCCCTTTTGGTGACATTTTTGTGGACAAAAGGGACAATGGAACATGGGTTCCTTACCACATTCTAACCGCCTATGCATAGCTAAGCCACGACTATATTTGTATCGTTTTCCACAAGTTGGACACACCCATCGTGCTTCTTCGGGTGATCGGTTTGACGAATTTCGTATTCGCTTACCACTAGAACCACTGCTAGGTGTTGTTCGTATAGTAATGGTACCAGGATCTAGGTGATGTGGAAATAAGCCAGGTATTTCTTCCGTATCTTGAGATAACCAATCTTTTGTATGCAAACCAGTGAATTTGTAGTATTCAGTAAGTATTAAACGTCTCTGGTAGTCGATCAATTCAGCTATAAATACATAGCAAAAATTATAATTAAAATWTATACAATAGATGTATCAATTACAGAACCCAAAACCTGGATTAAGTGATGGTAAGCTTGGAGAAGAAATTGAATCATTTAAATGTCCTTAAGAGATTTGAATAGAGGAAATTGAGTAAATGAAATATGTTAATCCAGCACCTACATTGTTTTATTTTGAATGAACACCGATTGAAGCATATTAATAATAAGCATACCCGCCTAATGAAATTATATTTGTTAGTTCAATAAAAGCTTACAAATTCACACCTTATGTGGATACTGTAAGGATGCAGTTTCCACAATAAAATGTATTGGAATTTGTATGTTTAATGTAAATCTATTATAATTATTTATTTTTTACAATTTAAAATGTTAGTTGGTTAGAATTATTTGTATATAGTTTTTTTTTTCTCAAAAAGCTCAAGAATCCAATATTTTTTGTCTGTTTTACACATAGTAAACGTTACCTGGAGTACTTTAATGTTAATGTTGAATACTTGCTATTCCTAGTATGAATACTTCAAAATTACATTTAATTTGTTGATTTCACATCTAGGTTTTAAATAATGCTTTATAATACTTAGCTTTTAAAGAATTAGTTAATATTTGTTCAATTATGCAATGTTTTCAAATAAATCAAACATCATTTATAATATTATATACAATTATCTAGTTAATAATACAACAATTTTATAATACTTTCGACATAAATAAAAATAATATTATATTACCTACTACAAAATAAAGATTTAAAATATTGAATTTGTAATACATTTTCCGTTCAATATATTAACAAAATTAATATTTTGATATATTTAATGTTATAGAAAATAAAATTTATTGTAAGTAAAATCAAGATGTCCAGTAATTTTTGATAATGTTGGTATATTATTTTCACATTTTATCAATCAAGTATTAATTCATCTTATTTAAAGAAAAATGTTACATCAATAAAAAAAATACCAAAACACAACATAATGTGTTAAATATATTTATGAAATAATTACTGCAAAACATATTTTTAATGTATTATAATTATTTAGATACATATACTCGTAAGGTTTTCCATATTATATACATTCTAGGTATTAAAATATYATCCTAAGCATATTTACTTCATAGAAATATAATATTTAAGTATATTTTATCTTATCAAATAATATATGAATCACAAATTTATTAATTGATAATTCTGTTAAGTWTATTCAAAATAATATGATTGTAAACCATAACACAAATTAATATTTCGCAATACTTATAAAAATATAAGTGCACTATCGGGTTTTTTCAATACAGGTACTTATTTTTTTAAATTAATTGAATATTTGCATCATAAATATGTATATGTTTTTTTTTTTTATTGGGATGAAATTATATTTATTTGTTTTGGATAATATATAATTACTTCTTGTAATATAGTTCTACTTACAAACAAATTCATTTTATATTTATGTTTGGATGTATAAAATAATAATAATAATTTATTTTCATAATAAGGCTAATCACTAACCATTATCAGTTTTAAAAATATAAAACCAAATGTAAATCAGATCATAAAATATACATAAAATAAAAACTTACTCCTTTAAAATAATCATTATTCTTGTATCTGTGCTGTTTTATTCAACAAATTAATTAATACTCATCAGTATATGACAATCTGTAAAAAAATATTATTATATTATTTTAAATCAATATTAATATACATAATCATATAATAAAACTATTTATTTATTTTACAAACCTACAAAGGGTAGATACAAATTTCATACATTTTAGTGTAGAAAGCATTTAAATTAAGGTTGCAATGATTCTGAAGCAATAAACAGTGAATACTTTACATCAAAATATATTAAACATAATATAATTGTGTATTATTTTGTACACTTTTACCTAAAATTATCATGTTTAATATTAAATAATTTATTGTTATTATGATAACTGTATACAATACTGTTGTGCTTATTTCATAATATTTAAGACTGATTCAAAAATCAAACATATTGTGGTAAAATTACTTATTATGGCTATGGCACAGTAAAAATAAGCTTCAGCAATAAGAGCTCATTTGTAAAAATTAAACAATTTTCCATGGTTAACCTTCCTTAAAATAAAGTTTAGYACCTATTACAATTCAAAGCTTTTGTATGATGGGGAGGAGATGAATCCATGGTTTCACTGCAATGTTACATTTTAGGAAATAACCAAAGTCATAACTGTATTTTAGAAAATAAATAATAGGTGAGAGTATCTTATAGATTTAAGAGTTGAAGGCATTTTTGTAATATCATCCTTTATGTACATTGTGTAACAGTATTGTACTTTTAATAGTAATTCAGTAATACCTAGGTACAAATGAATTACATACATCATACTAGCTTATAGCTATATTTTAAGTTTTTTTGGTAAAAATAATTCTTGTAATAGGTAGGTAAAATAATTATCAACAAATGCAATAATGCATAAATTGAATGTATTTAAAACAATAATATGGCTACAATTAATACCTATAGTTCCCATGATAATTTAAATGTATGTTGGTATCTTCTTTATTTTATTGTATTTAAATTTCACCAACAATAGCCAACAAATAGTTAACCTAATCATTAAGTCTGACTAATAGAAAGTGGTTAATGGCGATAACATAAAGTTCACCAAAGAAAATCTTAATTGCAGCGGCGGACTGGACAGGTTCAACAAGACGGAGATCGCCGACAGGACCCCTTAAAATTTATTGAACAAATATGTTCAAGRCCCCACGT